TTCAAATAAATTGAAAAGTAATATCGAATTTTGCGTTCCTAATTAAGTAATGTTTTCGCACGGTTACCATAATGCATATTGCTCATATTGCATAGGTCTGAGGCCTCTCCCAACATTATGCAATAAGATATTTTCAACTGTAGTAGTATTGACAGTTTCTAATGTTTCCTATGGTTGGTACAATGTACAGGCATGCATTTTCTACTCTCAACCTAATTGTTACACCTGAGGCTCTAGCTGAGGTACTATATCCTATTAGATAGTACACTACACTGTTGTCCATTTCTTGTAGAGTTGTCAGCAACAGTGTAGAGGGGACCTGAAGGCTCAGTAAGGGGACCCAGGCTACAACTATCCTACACAACAGAAATACAGGATGCAAGCACCAGAACATAGTCAGAACTTGCAGAACAGGCAGAGAGAGAGAGTGAGACAAGAGTAGAGTATATAGAGTGAGCCTAAGAGTACAGGACTACCTGGAGTAGACAAGATCAAGACTACAGGACCAGTCTGATCTTGTACACCTATATATACTAAACTACACAAGAGCACTCAGGGAGCATGAGCCACTAAGAATGATAAGCCATGAAGAATGAAAGAAAGGAATGTCAAAGATAAAGGTACAAAGAATGAAGGGATGGACAAAGGGTAAGAGACTATAGAATGAACAGAGAATGAAGGAGTGGTCAAAGGAATGGAATAATGAAGTAAGGAAGGGTAGTAGTAAGAGTCAGCACACATATAGTCTATAGACAGCACCTCTGAGGGACAGAAGTCCTGAGTTCCAGTACAGAAGGGTGTGGAACCCTTAGAACTGAAAGTAAGAGAGTAGAGAATTGTAACATTACCCCCCCTCTAAAACCAATCATCCTGATTGGTGAACATTGGGCTTGGTCAGCAGCTCAGGCATAGGTCAGAATAGTAGGGTTTGGAAATCTGTGAGGCAGAGTTGATGCAGAGCACCTAGATGAAGTTGATAGAAGTCTTGGATTGTCTTAGTAGTATGGGTGAGATTCTCAGCAGGTTCCCAAGTGTGTTCTTCAACTGGGTATCCCTTCCAGTAGATAAGGAACTTGAGTTTTCTGTACACCAGCTTGGCATCCACTATGTACTCTACTTTGTATTCTGGTTCAGAACTGATGAGTTCTGGTGGAGGCAGTGAGGGTCTTTGTTGTAAAGGAAAACCTGGATTGTAGTATTAAGACAGTAGAACCTTGTTAAACACTAGGTGTATGTGCTTCTATGTTGCTAGAAGTTAGAGTTTGTAAGCAGAGGCACCAACCTTCTTTTCAATAACAAAGGGTCTAAAGCACTTATTGTCCAACTTCTTTATTGAGCAATCTGTAGTCAGGTTAGTAGCTTCCAGCATAACTTTGTCACTAGGCTGGTAATCCTTGACTGTAGACCTCTTCCAATCATAGTTCTACTTCATGACCTGTGCTGCCTTTTCCAAAAGAGCTTGTGTATCCTCTCTGGTTCTGTGTATCTGTTCTACAAAGTCTGTTACAGATTCAGAACTACTGTTCTGGTTTGGAACTGTCCCCTGGTACAGATGTCTCCTATGATTGAGGAAGAATAGGGACTGTCCTGTTGTAGAGTGTTGCTAGTTATTGTGCACAAATTCTGTCAGAGCTAGCCATTCAGACCAATCTGATTACTGATGATTGATGAACATCTGGAGGTAGAGCTTGATCTCCTGATTAACTTGCTCAGTTTGACTGTCAGTCTACAGGTAATAGGTAGTAGAAGGGTTCCCTTGAATTCTAAGAAGCACATACAAGTCCTGTATGAATTTCAACTCAAATTGTGGTCTGTAATCATGAATGAGCTTCCAAGGGAGTCTGTACAACTGGAAGACATGATCCTGATAAATGCACACTATACCTTCAGAAGTGAGTTCTGTTCAGGTTGGAACTGTGTGGACTTGCTTGGAGAATCAGTCAACAATCATACAAATAGTGTTGTAACCCTAAGACTCAGGTAGCTCACCAATCAGGTCTACCAAGACTTCTTCCCAAGAGTGATTCAGAATCCAATGTAGATGTAGGGGAGCCCAAACCCTTGTCTGGTGAGCCTTAGTCTGTTAGCATGTATTACAACCAGTCACATACTTTAGGATTTCCCTCTACATTCTGGGCCACTAGTAGTTCTGAGTAATGAGTTCCTGTGTTTTGTGTCAGCCTGGATGTCCTACAGTCAGATTGTTGTAATAAGCTCAGACAATGTCCTCCTACAGTTTCCAATCCTTCAGAACATACAGTCAGCCTTCCTAGTAAACCTGTCCATTCTCATCCTCCTCCTAATCTCTAGCCTACTTCTCTAGTTGCTTCACTACAACCCAGTCCTGTATGTGTCTCAGAGCTCACTGTATGTGGGTGACAAAGTCAACATCCTCAGATTTGAGTCAGATCTCTTGGATTGTCTTGGATGCAA